CCACCATCGGCAGCCAGGGTCAGCCTGGGAGGGCCCCGGGGCGGGAGGTTCTTCCAGCCGGTCCCGGAGCCATCCGGAGGGCTGGGAGAGTTGGGGTGTTCAGCCTGGAGAAGAGAAGGCTCCAGGAAGACCTTAGAGCACCTTCCAGTGCCTGAAGGGGCTCCAGGAAAGCTGGGGAGGAACTTGGGACAAGGGCTTGTAGTGAGATGACAAGAAGGAATGGATCAAAACTGGAAGAGGGGAGATTTAGGTTGAACATTAGGAATACATTCTTCAGTGTGAGGGTGGTGAGAGCCTGGCCCAGGTCGCCCCGGGAAGCTGTGGCTGCCCCATCCCTGGCAGTGTTGAAGGGCAGGTTGGATGGGGCTTGGAGCAGCCTGGGCTGGTGGGAGGTGTCCCTGCCTTGCAGGGGGGTTGGGACTGGATGAGCTTTAAGATCCCTTCCAACCCAAACCATCCCATGTTATATGAGCAGTACAAGGAGCCTAGAATTAAAGCAACAAGGAAGACAAAAGGGGAAAAAAAAACCCAAACAGATGCTTTAAAGCCCTTACAAGTGCAGGGGTGTTGGTTTTACAGCCCAAATATCCCCGTTCTTTTTCCAGGGCAGCCAGGCAAGCTGATGTACGTGATGCACAACTCTGAGTATCCCCTCAGCTGCTTTGCTCTCTTTGAGAACGGTCCCTGCCTCGTGGCAGACGCCAATTTTGACATCCTGATGGTGAAGCTGAAAGGCTTCTTCCAAAATGCCAAGGCCAACAAGATCGAGAGCCGGGGCACCCGCTACCAGTACTGTGACTTCTTGGTGAAGGTGGGCACAGTTACAATGGGGCCCAGTGCCCGTGGGATCTCTGTGGAGGTAAGAATGGTCTCTGAAGGAGAGGAGAGTCGTTCCATGGCTCTATGAGGTGTCAGTAGCCCCTGCCATGAGCTTCAGGGCTGTGTTCCTGTTGCAGGTGGAGTACTGCCCCTGCGTGATTGCCAACGACTGCTGGAACCTACTGATGGAATTCATGCAGAGCTTCATGGGGAACCACACTCCTGGCATCCCATCTGTCTTTGGCACCAAGCACGACAGCATCTACAGCCCCTCAGACACCGTGGTGCAGTACATGGAGCTCTTCAACAAGATCCGCAAGCAGCAGCCAGTGCCCGTGGCCGGGATCAGGTGAGAGGAGCCTGGTTCAGAGCCACTGCATCCTCTCCTCTGCCCGTGGGGATCAGGATTCCCTCAAAAAGCAGCAATCTGGAGGCATCCCAATATTGTTTCGGTGTTTGTTTTTTATTGTTTTCCCTTTTTCAAAGCCAAGGTTTTGAAATGCTGGGCCTGTTTCATGTGTCCTCTTCCATGTGTCTGGGATCGGGTTGGTGGCTCTGAAGGTTCTTCCCGCAGTGCTTCCTGCAGGGAATTGCTCTTCATTGGCAGAAGGGACAAGGAGAAATTCCACCCAAATGCAGCCAAGGGCAGAGCTTCCTTGTCTGCAGATGTGAGAGATTATTTTTTGTAATGGTTTTGATTATTTTTGTTAAAGATACCCAGGTGAAAGTCATTTTTCATCAAAATAAAAGGCTGTGTTTTGTAAGGAGAACAGTCTTTCTCCACATTGAGTGTTGGGCTGCTCTGGATTGTTCATTTACAGCTTCTGACAATTTCTCTTGCATCAAGATAAGTCTTCAGCAGGTTTTGCTCTTTTGATTTGGTTCAGGAGCTTTATACCCCTGAAGCAAAGTGATTTCCCTGTGGCAAAATCTCAGGAATTCTGGCATTCCCATTATGGGTAGGTCCTTAGCTTGCCTTCATCTCTTATATCTGATGGGAGTATTAAAATCTCCTGCCTCTCAGATGATGCTGAGGAACCCTCTTGGTAAATAAATCAAGAAGCCTGGCACAGCCCTCTCACCCATTAAAAGACAACACCAGCTGCTTCATCTTGTTGGAAAGGTAGGTAGTAAATGTCCTCTCCATTTCTCATTTGAGAAATCCTGGTGGCTTTAAGGGATTGAATGAAGTTAGGAAGGATTTGGGGATTAAGAGCCAAAAATTTATTCTAAGACTTTAACAATACAAAATCACTTGAATATATGTTTTTAGTGGTGATTTATTTTTACAGCAGGAAAACCCTTTTGAGTCCCCTTGGTTTTACTTTCTCAGTATCTACCTAGTTTTCAACTGTCATTTTTTTATTCTCCTCCCTGCTCCACTCTTGAAATATTCAAAACCACCCTCATTCAGCCACCAACCTTGGACCTGAGCTTCCTTCATGGTTCCTGGTCAGGTTGTGATCAGCAGGGTTCCAGGAAATTTTCTGGAAATACTCAGGAAATATTGCTGATTCCTTGCCCAGGTTCTTGTCTTGAAGAATCTGAAGAGCAAGAAAAACAGAAATAGATTTTTTTCCTAAATAGATTTTTTTCCTTCTGCAGCAGCAGGGGGTGAAGAAGCTGTTTTGTTACTTTTATTTGCTAGTTATTTAGATACGACTTCTTTGTGGTGATTATTTATACCTGTAAAGCTAATTAACTGTTAGCGTGCCCAGAGATTTTAGTGGGGGCATTTAATACATTTAATCAGCACTGGGCCCAGAAAGATCTGCTTAATGAGCCATAATAAATGGCAGAGTGTACCACAAGTGTCTTAAAAATTCCAACATGCTGAACATGCTGAATTTTGCAACTCTTTGCTCAAGTTCACGACCTGTGCACTGACTTCACTGGGACTATTAATTGCCAGTGATAAAAATTCAGCGAGAATCTGACCTGCTGTTGTGCCCCATCGTTCAGAAAACTTAGGAAAACAAACTCTGGTCTTTGTAGGGACAGTTATTTCTGTTGAATTTCCCCTTTAAAGTCAAACCCCCACCTTTTAATGAGCAGATTAATCATGCTGAATGTCACTAATACTTTATTAATTCCCAGAAGATGCTTTTTGTAACCAGAGATGTCAAAACTCTGCTCACATGTCTTAAAAACATAGAACGTGTGTTGCAGTCTCTGGGGACTTCTGTGCTCTCATTAATACATTGTGCTGTTCCTGGAGTAATAAAACAGGGCCCCCCCCACGAGCTACATTCTGCCTTCAATTACACCATGACAGCCATTGACGTCAGGAGGTTTCCACATGTGTGAGGATGGGCAGGATTTAGCCCTTTTGTTTCTTAGCAAAAAAGAATGTCTGTTGCTGTCAATGTGCTTGTGGGATCAGCTGCCCCACGTGAGGAGCTGCTTTTGCTCTTTTTTAACTTCCCTGATGGACAAAATGACTGTTTTCAATCTTATTAGCTGCAGGAATCCTCCTCATTCCACCCCTCCCAGCCTGATAGGGCAGGTTAAGTTGGCTTGGAATGTGCTCTTAACACCTTACCTTAACAACTGCATCTTAACAAGTCTTCAGGGGCATTCAGTTGTCTTACATTAATGGATTGAGCCAGTGTCATTGGAAAACACCCTAGTTTTGCCTGTCAAGGCATGGTCTGGAAGGTTGTTTTCCAGTAGCTCCCCAGTGTTTTCCCAGAGAATGCAAGATCTAGAGGGAGAGGACTCCGAGTCTTATTCCTGTAGCACTGTAGATCCTTGGTGCTGCATCAGCACCTCACAAAATCACTGGTAGTTTTGTTGCTTTCATGAAGCCTGAAGTTGAACTGGTTGAAGCCTGAGCTAGAGGGGACTGGGGATCACAGAATCATGGAATGGTTTGTGTTGGAAAGGACCTTCAAGATCATCCAGTCCCAACCCCCTGCATGGGCAGGGACACCTCCCACCAGCCCAGGTTGCTCCAAGCCCCATCCAACCTGCCCTTCAACACTGCCAGGGATGGGGCAGCCACAGCTTCCCTGGGCAACCTGGGCCAGGGTCTCACCACCCTCACACTAAATAATTTCTTCCTAATGTCCAACCTAAATCTCCCCTCTTCCAGTTTTGATCCATTCCCCCTTGTCATCTCACTGCAAGCCCTTGTCCAAAGTCCCTCCCCAGCTTTCCTGTAAGTCCCCTTCACATATTGGAAGGTCCTGTGAAGTCCTCCTGGAGCCTTCTCTTCTCCAGGCTCTAGGGATCTTGGGGACATGGACCTCACCTTGTTTTGTTTTAGCTTTTCCCCTCCTAGCTCTAAGCAGAGGCTGGATAATGTTACCATGTTCACCAACACTTTGGTGGCAGAGACAGTGTCCAAGTCTCACTCCCACCCTGGGGGTCCTATGGGCTTTTGTTCCATTTTCTGCTGTGACATTTTTTATGAGGAAGGACTGACATAGCAGCTGCACCCTGCTAAGCTTTACAAAGAGAGTGAGGGTGTACGGGCCCCGTTAAGTCTTCAGTTTTAATTCTTAACAGACGTTACAGACTGAGGGCTTATCACAGTGGGGAGCTGTGGAAGAGTTGAGAGGTGTGTGACTGGATTTCTGTGCAGGTATGGGTTGAAAAGAGACCAGGCACTGATCAGAAAGGGAAGGTGTAGAGGAAGGATGACAAAGCTCACAGGAAGTGGAATTTGGTGAAGGAGCTCACAAAGGAGACCATAAGGCTGTGGAGTGTCCTTTTGCCATGGCAGAAGTAAGGAGGCTCCCACCTGTTGCAATACATTGCAGTGCTCTGCCTCAGAACTTACTGGGACAGGATTTGGGGGAACACTTTGCACTTTCCTCTGCAAAGGAACCGTGTGTGTGACACCACTGACCTGTGCTTCGTGTCATCAGTGCTGTGCAGAGCACGACTCCTTGCTTGCAGCTTTGCCCGGGCTCTGCTGCTCAGAGAGCAGGACTCGATGGGACCTCCTGCAGGCGGCAAAAAGGAGCGAGTTGTCCCAGCGGGTGGTGGTGGCTCCCAGGCGTGGCTGCCCCTTGCTGTGGACAGACCTGGCCTCAGTGCCGGTGTCCCTTTGTCTCTGACAAAACCCTCATGGCTCCTGCACTGTGGTGACCAGCGTGTGACCTGGGGGCCTTCTGGTGACCTCTGGCAAGGCCCAGCATGGCCTGGGGGCTCCGTGTGCCACCGGTTTTGTCAGGCCTGGTGGAGCAGCCACCCCTTGTCACCTCAGGGGCCCTGTGGGGTGCCCTCCTCCATCCCCCTCAGGGCTCCTGGCACCTCAGGGGTGCCCCTCTCACCCCCCTCACGGGCCCTGTCACCTCACAGCCCCCGCGGGGTCCCCCCTTGTCCCCTCAGGGCCCCTCCTCCCTGTCCCCTCAGACCCCCCCATGTCCCCTCAGGGGCTCTCCCACCCCACACACCCACTTCAGGGGCCCGGCGGGATGGCGCCACCTCCCGCGCTGCCCCTTTCCCGAGTCCTTTTGTCCCCGAAAACCCCAGACCTGGCCTCAGTGCCGGTGTCCCTTTGTCTCTGACAAAACCCTCATGGCTCCTGCACTGTGGTGACCAGCGTGTGACCTGGGGGCCTTCTGGTGACCTCTGGCAAGGCCCAGCATGGCCTGGGGGCTCCGTGTGCCACCGGTTTTGTCAGGCCTGGTGGAGCAGCCACCCCTTGTCACCTCAGGGGCCCTGTGGGGTGCCCTCCTCCATCCCCCTCAGGGCTCCTGGCACCTCAGGGGTGCCCCTCTCACCCCCCTCACGGGCCCTGTCACCTCACAGCCCCCGCGGGGTCCCCCCTTGTCCCCTCAGGGCCCCTCCTCCCTGTCCCCTCAGACCCCCCCATGTCCCCTCAGGGGCTCTCCCACCCCACACACCCACTTCAGGGGCCCGGCGGGATGGCGCCACCTCCCGCGCTGCCCCTTTCCCGAGTCCTTTTGTCCCCGAAAACCC